TTTAATTAATTAATTAATTAATTAATTAATTTGTTTTATTGAGAAAGAGTCTCCCTGTAGCCCCAGCTGACCCGGAACTCGCTATGTAGACCAGGCTGGCCTCGAACTCACAGAGATCCGCCTGCCTCTGCCTCCCAAGTGCTGGGATTAAAGGCGTGCGCCACCACGCCCTGCGCTTCTCTTTTTAACAGTTGCTAGGATTCGCAGCATCTGTGGGACACCTCTCCATCCTCAAAGCACCAGTCTTTTGCGTCTCTGCGTGTGATGCCTTGGACCATGGTGCGGACGCACAAAATCCAGATCTCACAGCAAGGGTAAGGGTAGGATAGCTGTTTAATTTCTTTGGCGATCCCGTCACACTTCCCAAACACCCCTTTCTTGAAGTTTCGTTGTTTCTGCCGCCGCCGCCGCCACGGCCGCCGCCGCGGATTTCGCTGCTTCCGGAATCCAGCGGCTGGAGCCTCAGAATGTCTGGGAAGGAGTTCGTCGGTTTGTAAGAATTTGGATCCGTAGCTTCTTCGAGCGCGCTCTTTGTGAGCTGTCCCCTATCCTGGGGACATATTGTATCGGGGAAACAGTGCAGGAACGCCTGCCCGGAAAGCATCCAAACCTGCGTAATAACATCACCACCTAGACTCCAAGGATCCAGTGCTCTGAGGATGGTTTCGTTGACTGGTCCAGTTCGTGGCGAGCACAGGGAACTCTGGGCTGAAGGACAGCGCGGCGGCATCTGGAGTGATAAGTGGAGGGTGAGAAAGTTGCCATAGGATACTGGTAGCACTTGTTTCGGAGGGAGAGAATGTGGACAGTGTGACCTACCTGTGTAGGCACCTTTTTGAAGTCCGACTTGAAGACTTGTAGGGCAGGAAGACCAGATATTCGTGGGGAGATCGGGACACTTCCCCAGCCGGGGATAAGGATTCCCACCCGGGCAAGTGGGAGAGCCTCAGACCACATTCTGGGCGCAGAGCACTGCAGTGCTTGCCGGCCACAGCTTGGAGGCTCAGCCTCTCCCTACTCTCTAAGGACACACTCGTCAGAACCCTCAGCCTCGGGTTGGGGCCACAGCCATTTGACCAGACCCCTTATGGTCCACCCATTCGGATGCCAGCTCTCCTCATTTCCTTTCCAGCCACTCCACAGCAGGTTCTAGGTCTGCCTGCACCTGGGAGGGGCCCAGTCTCCCCACCATACATTCTGTGCTGTCTTGAGTAAGTCATTTTTGTCTTGGAATCTCTGGCTCAAGGTGTGAAAAATTAGCTCCTGAGTCTCTACCTCACCAATTTCAGTGAAGTGGGTTAGGGGTGGAGGGGGAAGAGGAGGTGGGAGTGGGGTGCTCAGAGCTTAACCACAGCAAAGGCTCTGGGAATGGCTGGTCACACCTGGGTCTCCCAAAGCACAAATAATGGAAAATCTGCCTTCCCTTAGAGAAAAGGCTTCCAATGGGGCAACCACCAGGCGTTGGGGGGCTGGAGCACGGCCCTAGGCAGGACCATACGATGGGTTGGACAAAAGTTTCATCTACTTTTTTTTCTGGGGGATTAGGATCAGAGACCATGAATGGGCTGGACTGTCCTCTGTAGAAACTACTGTTTCCAAGGTCATGAATTGCATCTGCTGGTGGGTGTTTGACTAGGCAAAGGGCTGAAGTACAGACTGAGCAAATGTAGAGGCCTGGACAGGGTCCTTGGACTCTCCTTGTGGCATTGTGGAATCTATGGGAAAGCAGGAGCCAGCTGAATTTCAGTGTTCTAATAAACAGTCAATGACTTGAATTTGCCTCAGCAGGCAATGCCAGGCTGTGACTGAAGTGGTTTTTGCTGGACTGTTTAGCCACATAAAGGTAGTGTGAATGTGACTTCCAGTGGAAAGGTGCAGTCCCTGGCGACAGAAACCCAAATTTCTTTGGTGTGTTTACCCCATCTCCAGAATGCCAAGGATGAAAGGGGTGAGCCAAAGAACCATACACTTAAAGAGTTGTGTGATCAATGCTGAGCAATGGTAGGACTCTGGAGGAGGACATGTCTAAGGAAGGAAAAGCCTGTAAAGGCCTGTGGGTAGGAAAATGCTGGGGGTAGAGAGGGTAAAGACCCATGTAGGACCTTCCCTTGTGGCTGGCTGAGGTTCATGCTTGAGTATGGGGTGAGACATACCGAAGATTAGGAAGGAGGTAGTTCTGAAAAGGATGTGGTCTGTTGGGTTTTGCAAACCCCAAGCATCTTGGACTAGATCTTGAGGGTACAGCGGAGCCACCACAGACTGTAAGCAAAGAAGGGGACAGGATTCCATGTGCCCACTGAAAAATTGGCTGCTAACTATAGTGTGGGTGATGCCCTTGGCAGACCAAGACTGTAAAGGAGGAGGCTAGGGCAAGCACTGGCAGTGAAAGGTACCTGCTGGGAACCTGGACTAGAAGGACAGCAGTGGAGATGGAGAGGAGGAGATGCATCCTGCAGATTCTGGGAAATACCTAGTAGGGCTTGAGGACTGGTTGGGTATGGGTTGAAGCAGGGAAGGGAGGAGTGCATGTTCAGTTTCCAGGCAGGAGAGCTGAATGAGTGGTGGTTCCACTTCCTGAAACAGAGTGTGTATCACAGGAAACAGGCTAAGGGTTGGGGCAGTCATAGGTGAGTCAGTCACTTAGAGAGCAAACTTCCCAGGTACACAGGGCCAGACTCTGCTGCTCCTTTTGGAGGGACTCTTGATCTGTTGATGGAGCCTGCAGCAACCTAACAGCCCCTTATAAACTGAGAGAGAAGAAGAGGTAGAATGAAAGAAGACATGGGGAGTAAGGGGACATTGTATCTGGGCTATGTATTTTTGTCTTTTTAACATTTAGTATTAATATGTCATGGATTCGAGTCTGGAACTGCTTAGGTCCTTGGTTGGCTGTAAAACAGTAAAAAAAAAAAATAGAAGTCATTGCTGTAGTCATCTTTGCAGCTCAGGGCAAAGAATATAGGAAGTCAAAACAGTTCAACAATTTGCACACAGGGCCACAAAGCCAGTAAGTGCATGTTGGTCTATTCTTCCAGGAAACTGGAACTCTTTCACAGTTGGGTCTGTACTTTCTTCATCTCTGGAGTCAGGCATGCTAGTATTCTTATCCTGGTGCCATGTGTGGCCTTGTAAAACTTACTCTAGGATTTAGATTCCCATTTTCCTCCTCTGCAAAATGAAGATTGATTGAGATAGTCTCTGTAAAACATGTAAAATCTTGCAAGGCAGGTTAGGTTCAAAAGTCTCCCTATTATCAGTACGAGTGTATTTTCCCAACATTCATGATGTATTCTAATGAACAAATACACAAATGTAAATGATCGCTGTGAAATATTTGAAAGACTCAGTAAAGCACCAAGAAGAAAAAAAAATTACCCAGCAATCTGTTCATCTTTTTGGTGGGACTTGGATGCACAGGGGTTAGTGGATTCAAGTATGGGGTAAAGGAGGGTGCTGGGTACCAGCACCCTGGGCAGTAAGCACTCTGACAGAGGGAGGAGGAGAAAGATATCTAAGCGTTGCCATCCTAGTCCTTGTTCCTTTGTCCCGCAGCCGTTTTGGGACTAAGTGCGCCCGTTGCGGCAGACAAATCTACGCCAGCGACTGGGTGCGGCGGGCGCGCGGCAACGCCTACCACCTGGCCTGCTTCGCCTGCTTCTCCTGCAAGCGCCAGCTTTCCACCGGTGAGGAATTCGGACTGGTCGAGGAGAAGGTGCTGTGCCGCATTCATTACGACACCATGATCGAGAACCTCAAGAGGGCCGCGGAAAACGGTAACCAGCTCGCCCTTTTGTCCCAGCCCTTTCCAATCCTCCCTAGCACCCAGATACAGCCCACACTGTTTATCCTGGTAGTGCGATCCCTAGAACACCTGGAGGCAGGGGGCGGGGGGGGGTGGTGCTTCTCGTGGAGCATGCGCTTTAGCTCTGTCATTTGCTTGGACCTCAAGTCACTACCGGTCCCTGTAACAACGAAGTTAACTTAAACGTAAAGGGATAATGAAAGGCTACTGTCTCAAAGATAGATGAGCTGATGTGTTGTAGATAGGGGGGTGCTCAGTGAACCCTACTCTGGAAACCATACTCATTGGCCTGCAGGCTAAATCCTCCCCTAGCTGTCCTGGGTAGGAGACATGGTGGAGTCCCTAATTCTCCCAATTCCCATCTGGGCCACACCAAGCCAGAAGTTAAGGGTGGAGATTTCATCCTGGATCAAGAGTTATGAGTATAAAGGTGTATAAAGGACCATGAGTCACTCAGAGGCAAAGGATCTCTGTGAGTTGAAGGCCAGCCTGATCTATATAGCGAGTGTCAGGTCAGCTGGAGCTACAGGGAAACTGTCTCTAAAAGACAAAAGAAAAGAAAGAAGAAAAAAAGGACCCTGAGTCTCAAAGACAGGGATCTAGCATACAGTTGTATGGTACAGGCTGACAGATGAAGTTTCCTTTTCTCTTTGTCTTCCTCCCCTCATCTGTGTAAGATATCTGGGTGTTGACTAGAATGATCCCTAAAGCTCCTCTGGTTCTAATACTATGATTTCCCAGGATCAGAGTGAAGGTCTTTCAGGCTCACAGAGGGTGAGGTGTTGAGATGGGAGTTGGCAGATGGGAGTGGACAAAGGCTGGGACCCTTTCCAGAGTTCTGTCAGGATTTGTTGTTGCTGCTAACTTCTTGTAAGATGATGGTTGTGTATAATCCTTAGAACAGCTTTAGGAAATGGGTGACATATTCCCATTCATAGCTAGGAAAGAGGCAGAGGTTATCTGCAATATGCAACTTGCCAAAGGTTACATCTGGTAGAGCTGCCGGACTCCGAAGTCCAGTTTCCTAATTACCATAACAAAGTACAATATATCATACTAAACTACCTGATCCCTATGCTCCAAGACCGCCTCCCACCCCCCCAATACAACTAGCAGGTTCCTGGGATGTGGCTGCCTCTACCAGTTTCATTTTCCCCTCTAAAAAACCAGACTATTCCTTATCCTGAATGCTTTCCTTGGGACATTAACGCCACACCCTAGGGGAGGGATCTGGACCACTCTACTTCAATTTAATTCTAGGTGTAGTCAGGGACCACCAGAGTGTTACTAGCTATGGCCAAACCGAGATCATCACTTTCTCCTGCTAGGATTAGCTAAGTGAACTTGGGGGTGTAAAGAAGTTACCTGTATTGGTGGCTAGCTCTCCAGCAGAGCAGGGAGGAAACCCAGGAGTCAGAGCTGCTTCTACCGCACAGCTAATGAGTAGCCACAGGCTCCTTTCCCCACCCTAGTCACAGCCTTTCCAGTGACATGCTAGCTCTCACCATGCAGGGGAACCTGAAGACTTGGGGCCTCAGATCTCCCTCACAGACCAACTCTCATTGGCTTTTAAACAACACACACACACACACACACACACACACACACACACACACAATCAGAAAATTAGGAAAGATGGTTAAAGAAAAATTTGAGATCATTTCAAAAGCCATACTTTGCTGTTCATGTTCCCAGTCTTTTCTATGTATTTTTTTTTAATCACCATAGGTTTTTTTTCCCCTTAATTAAGAATTGTAATAAATTGTGAGCAGTGGTTGTCTCTGAGTAATGAGGTTACTGGTAACTTTTCTCCCTTCTTTGTGGTTATCAGAATTTTGGGTTTTTGATAAGAACCACATATTACTTTTGTATTCAGAAAAATGAAGTGTTAAAATGATCATATATTTACTGGCTTACAATCATAGTTGTAAAAGTACTGTAGAGCATAAAATGAATACCTAAAATATATCCCAGCTAATAAAATCATACCCTGGAGAAGTAAGGGAACATGTGGTTGTTTTAAAGACTTCAAAAGTTACCAAAATAGTGAAAGTAGAAAGTTTCCATAATCTAACACTCTTTGGGGGTAAGCCACTGCTAACAGCTTGGGGTTATATCCTCCCAACTTTTTTTCTTCCACTTCTTATTTTGTTTTTATAGAATTGTGGTCATAGTTTCCGCAGCCTGCTTGCTGTCTACCTCCAGTCTTTGTTTTCCCTCAGATCAACTAGGAGGGACATTATGGTCAGTCAGCTTTCAGATCCTAGTCAGGATCATCTCTCTGAGCCTCTAGATTCCTTCCTTATAAAGTGGGATAATGCCACCTCTCCTTAGGGCTGTGAGATGTGAACAAAACAAAGAAAAGCGTCCAGTACCTAGAGGATGCTCAGGAAAAGAAGCGCTTCCCCTAGGACTGAGCTCAGGACTAGGGCCCTGGGATCCCCGCTCCTAGCCACCTTCGCTCCTGACCCTTCCAGGGACAAGCTCCCCCCACCCCGTCCTTTCCAGGCTCCCACTAGAAGAGATGGGGACGCGTGGTCAGCCGCTTCTGTCGCCCCCCAGGGAACGGCCTCACGTTGGAGGGGGCAGTGCCCTCGGAACAGGACAGCCAGCCCAAGCCGGCCAAGCGCGCGCGGACGTCCTTCACTGCAGAGCAGTTGCAGGTACCGCCGCCCGCCGCGAGCCTTATGGGCGTGGCCTTCGAGTGGGCGTGGCATTCCGGCCTTGTGGCTCCACCCCCTTGTGCTTGGACCCGCGGGTGGCAGGGAGGGGGCTGCAGCTGCCTGGGGCGTGGCCTCGGGCCCGCGCCTCTGATTGGGCGGAGGTCTCGCGGCGTCCCTCACCGAGGTCCGCGCCCCGCAGGTTATGCAGGCGCAGTTCGCGCAGGACAACAACCCCGACGCTCAGACGTTGCAGAAGCTGGCGGACATGACAGGCCTCAGCCGCAGGGTCATCCAGGTGGGGCTCGGGGTCGGGGTGGTCCTCAGGGCGAGCCCTGGTGAGGAGGGTCGGGGGGGTGCACGTGGCCGCCCTTCTGCAGTCCGGCCTGGGGTCCCCCTGCTGCCGGTTCGACCCTTTTCCGCGAGGCTGAGATGCTGAGACTGTCGTTCCAGGTGTGGTTTCAAAACTGCCGGGCGCGTCATAAAAAGCACACACCGCAGCACCCAGTGCCGCCCTCAGGGGCGCCCCCATCCCGCCTTCCTTCCGCCCTGTCCGACGACATCCACTACTCCCCCTTCAGCAGCCCCGAACGGGCGCGTATGGTCACCCTGCACGGCTACATCGAGAGTAAGTGATTCTGAGCCTGGCATCGCCAGGCCTTCGGGATGGGAAGGGAAGGGACGCTGAGGAATGCTCCTGGCCTTCGTAGGTGTGTGTGGGGTGGGGTGGGGGGAGGTCTGAGGGAGCCTGTGGATGAGGACATGGGCCCATGATAGTAGTCAGACTTACGGGTTGTGGAAGAGGGTCAGTTCCCCGCCCTTCCTAGTGGATCTGACCCTTGGTAGAGGGAACAGTTTAATCATTCCCCAAATACTTTCCAAGCAGCTTTTCTGTCCTTGTGGGGGGTAGGGGGGCAGTGAGGCTGGAGGGGAGGGGTGGTCTAAGGTTCTAAGGTTGAGGGAGCCTGCCTTCTGTGGGGCAAGACAGCATGGAACAAAACAGAAATGAGCCCTGTGGTTTTCATTTGGTGATTCCTGTAGGAAAGGTGCTGGGTGGGAGTGTTTGGAGATGCTGAGCTCTGAAGGATGTGTAGGATTTACTGAGGCAGGTAGACTGTGGGTGCTGAATGTGGGCAGACCCTGGTCCAGAAGGCATCCTGACATGGGTGCATTGGGGGAAGCAGAAGGCTAGCTGGCAGGACCACCCAGGGCTGTGAGGCCTTTGGCAAATCTTGAACCCCTCTGTTTCCTCATCCGTAAACTCAAATATAGATAATGTGTCTCAAAGGGATTGTGAGAACTGACTTGAGCATCCATTAAATATATACTTTGAGTACCTCCTGTGTTCTTAGCACTGAGATATGAGAGTCAATAAGTAGACCAGAATTGCTCTGTTCCTGGGACTCACACTCTAATGAAGAGAAATCCTAAAGTCTCTCTCTCTCTCTCTCTCTCTCTCTCTCTCTCTCTCTCTCTCTCCTCCCTCCCTCCCTCCCTCCCTCCCTTCCTCCTGGGGACGGTACCCAGATGGGCATGGTACCCAAGTGCTATGGCATTGAGCTATGGCCCCAAGCAGAGACAATAAACTGCTACAGGAGGAAAGGCAGATATCTGGGTGACTCTAGAGGGAGGATGGGGAACAAGTCACATTGAAGTGACCTCAGAGCATGAACCTGGGGGAATAAGGGTGTGGCCTGCATTTCTGGGGAATGAGGAGTGAATTTGCTATTGAGCAGGTGCTTATCATAGAATCTCTTTCCCTTTGGGGTTTTCTCAAAGCTAGGCATAAGAGCAACAATCACCCCACCCTACAAACTCCTTTCTGTAGCTCCAACTAAGAGGAAAGAAAAGAGATAAAACTGTTGCTTACAGAGCACTTGGCATGTACCTGAGTCTAAACGTCATAATCACTGTCCCATTGCAGAGCGGAGGAAACCAAAGGTCCATTGTAAGGTAGCGCCAGGGACTCTTTAATGACTGAATGTAGGCTTTGGTGTAACTCCCAGGGTTCAAATCTCACCCTTGCTACTTCCTAGCTGGGTGATGCTGGGTGAGTTTCCTAGCCTCCTGCAATACCAGTTTCCTCATCTGTAAAAATGAAGGCAGTAAGAGCACCCATCTCAAAGCAGTATCGTGAACAACACATGAGATTTAAAATCGTCATTTAGCAAATGCAGGCCATTACCTGTTCTTGGGATATGGCAGTGGATTGGTTGGCAGAGCTGGGAGCACAAAGCCCTGTCTGCTGTACCAGGTTGCCAGCAGGAGCGCTGTCTCTTTATACTGTTCCATTTCCAAACCTTCTGCTCATCAGGAGGGACACGGCCCCCTTTTGTTTCTAAACAATGATTTATGTTCAGCATGCACAGAGCCTATTAGATATATATTAAAGGTGCCAAGAACTAGCGGCTCTTTGGGTATCAGGAGTTGTGGCATCCAGCTAATACTTGGTATAGAGTTGGTACTGGATCTAGGTGACTACTGTTGAAGTAGGGTCAGGACTATGTTCCTGCACTCTATTGATCAAGCCTAGGTCTGTCTTTGCTTCCTAAAGAAGAAGATGGGGTACTTTTTCTCCTCATGGAGGCAGAACCCAGCTCAGGCCAGAAGAGGCTGGGGTGTACCTCTTGTTGCATGATTGAAGGCCAACCCAGCAATTTGATTTACAGTTAGCTGGAGATGTGAAGTGTTGGATTTTCTGGAGCATTAGAGCTGGAAGCTGAGTAAAGGGTTAGAAGCAGGCCCCAGAAAAAATGCCCTTCTGCTTTGCAGTCAACTAAACTCCGTGGTTAGAATCTGATTAAAAAACTTGGGAACCAGACTCCAGAAAAATGTATGGACACATTTGAGCAATTTGAAGCTGTTCAGAGAGTCCCTGAACACCCAAGGAGTTAAGAATCCTCAATTAGCTACCATTGCTTTATCCTACAGATGAGGGAACTAGTTCAGAAAGGCACAGGGACTTGTCCCAAGTTACTTATCAGTTGTGTCTGTACATGCTCTTCCTGTGTGCAGAGAGGATGAAGTCTAGAAGAATCCTCAATTAACTACCATTGCTTTATCCTACAGATGAGGGAACTAGTTCAGAAAGGCACAGGGACTTGTCCCAAGTTACTTATCAGTTATAAGTGTCTGTACATGCTCTTCCTGTGTGCAGAGAGGATGAAGTCTAGAAGAATCCTCAATTAGCTACCATTGCTTTATCCTACAGATGAGGGAACTAGTTCAGAAAGGCACAGGGACTTGTCCCAAGTTACTTATCAGTTATAAGTGTACATGCTCTTCCTGTGTGCAGAGAGGATGAAGTCTAGAAGAATCCTCAATTAGCTACCATTGCTTTATCCTACAGATGAGGGAACTAGTTCAGAAAGGCACGGGGACTTGTCCCAAGTTACTTACTTATCGGTTATAAGTGTCTGTACATGCTCTTCCTGTGTGCAGAGAGGATGAAGTCTAGAAGCAGAGGCAGGCAAACGATCTCTCTGCTATAGTGGCAAACTGGCTGAAACATGAGAGATTTAGATCAGAACCAGAGATGGACTTTCCTCAATAGTTTTAGACGTTGGAATAGGGTGTGGAACTTCAACAGATATTGGAAGAATGCCATGCCTCACTTGAGGAACTAGAAATCCATGGAGGTATAGAATCTAGAGAACAAAAATCTCTACCATTGTAGGACTTGCATTCCAGATGGCAAAGAGACAATATTAAATAAAAAATGAAAATATATATAAGTCAGATGATTAGGGGTAAGGGAGAGAAAAGGGCAGAAGGAGGACATGGTGGGGGTGGCTGCTTGTTTATGTGCATTTGTGGATAGGGTGGTGACACACAAGAGGAGAGTCTTCTAGGAGGTACTCCATAAACCATCTTTGGTGATACCTGCGAAATCGGTATGTGTGGGTGAGGATCTGAACAGACGGCTTCTGCCTCACTTGCAGGAGGGGCTCAGGATGTATTCGAATAGGAGTGTTTGCTTATCTGTGAGCTGAACCATAACACTTGATGAAGTCCTTCACATATAACATTGCTACCAACCTAGTTGAGATCTTGCCCAGAGCCACCAAGGTGGCAAGAACTCTGGGATAATGATCAAGGCTCCAACTTCTAGAGCATGAGGCAGGTGGGATCCCGTGTGGAGCCTAGGGGATGGGCTCCAAGGCATCCTTTCATCCACAGGTCAGGTACAGTGCGGGCAGGTGCACTGCCGACTGCCTTACACCGCGCCCCCTGTCCACCTCAAAGCCGATATGGATGGGCCGCTCTCCAACCGGGGTGAGAAGGTAAATAGAGCCTGGCTGTGTCCGGTGGGTCAGAGCATTCCTACTGGGGATGGGTTTCTGAGCGTTCTCCATCAATGAGTGGGTACCATGCCACTCTGTTGCAGACCACCCAGGCCCCCACTGTGCCCCTAAGGCAGTCATCAGAGCAGCTGCGTGTGTGTTTCATGTGCTGGTCTTAACTGAAGCCTTCCTTACAGCCCCTTCCTCCCTACCCCCTGGCAGCAAGACCTTATTTACAGACTTGTGAATTTACTCAAGCTTTGAGGTTCTGGGGAGGGTTTCTGTCCCACACCACCCTAACTCCTGTCTCACTCCCCTTCCTTCTATTTATGCCTGATTGTCTAACAGTGACTGTTCAGAGCTGGAAGGGACCAGGGAGAGCAGAGCACATGTCAACCGGGTCAACTGCAGGGCCTTCACTGCAGAAGTAGATGCTCCAAGGCATTAATGCTGAGTATCCCCAAGGGTGCATAGATGTCACTCAGCGCAGCAACTTTGTTTAATCTTGTCCATGTGATGGATGAAAGTAGCTTTGAGTATAACTAGGAGTGGGTAGGAGCTTCAGCATCTCAGTTTTGAGTCACTGCACAACTAGCCCTCAAAGCGGTTGCTCTAACACAGCCCTTTATTTCAGAGGTAGAAAAACAGAGGCCCAAGTCATTCAAGGTCAGAGCCTAGATGAAGACCTATACATTTATTCATTTCTTTGTTCAGTTTTTCAGATAAGAATACAGAGCTAAGTTAAGCATGGCCTCTGCTCTTGAGGAGGCTACAGTCTAGAGGGAGACATCCCTCAGCAGTTCCAGCATAGTGTGGCCAGATATCGATAGAAGCATGGTTGAGGGGGCCAGAGGAGAAGGCATGAGGCAGATTTCTCAGAGGAAGGCAGTACAGGCCTAGCCCTGAACGGTCATTTAGGGTTCATCAGGGACATCCTACTGTTAGGAAATCCTGAGCTATTTGGTGTCACTAGTACCTGGGCTTGGGAGGGAAGATGGTGAGAAATGGGGCCCTGGGGCTGCTAGGTGGAAGATTTGGACTTCATCTGGCAACAGGGCTCTTGTGGTGGTTATCAAGCCTGGGCAGTAGCATTGCATAGGAGGTAGGAAGTCCTGTGGTGCTGTGGCTCAGGGAGGGTCAGTAGTTTAGAGCTAGAAGGACCCTCAGCTGCTCTGCAGTCAAACAGATCCCAATCTTGGCATACCTCGGAATCCCCTGGGCAGCTTGAGAAGATATAGATTACTGAGCCTGGGGAGTCTGCCTGGGAATTGAGTGGAGGGCATGGCATGAATAAGGCCTGGCCCTTGAGGTTCCGATGAGCAGCCGAGGGTGGGGGCCACTCCTTCAGGGTTGTTCCTCTGCCTTTGCTTCCCAAAGCCTGCTGTGTGTAGGGATTTCCCTGCAGTGGGCACCACAGGGCAAGGTCTGGAGGATGGAGGCTTGGGTGGAGAGTATGGTAGTACGCCATGTAAGGGTCTGGCGAGCACACCCCAGAAAGATACCCTCCAAGACTCCCACTTGCAGTGAGAACTGCCATCTGTTGAGCTCTTCAGTTTGAGGTTGGCACTTCACACACTGTCTAGTTAACACCTCCAGCCACATCTGGTATAGGCATGACCATTCTCATTGTAAAGACTGAGAAACAAGTTTAGAGAGATTGTACAGTTTGTCCAGGGAGCCATGAGTCTGTTAGAATCTAAAATCTGCATGGGTTAAGTCTTTGCTTTTGAACAACACTTTACAGTGTATATAGTACTCCATCTGACTTCATCCTTCACAGCTTCCCTGAGGGGGATTATGACAAAGTCCATTTCAAATCCACAGGAACTAAGACTCAGGGTGAGCAGTAGCTGATCCACGATCACACAGAGTGTGGCCAGAGCAGCCCTTCATCCTAGTGCCCTCTATCTTGGAGCCACCATTCTCCCCAGGAGAGCATTCATCCTATGGGAGCTGACACTGGGATTGCAGAAGGGAGAGGACATGATCCCTGTCTGCAGAGGCCTTGTGATTTAGAGCAGGATGTGGACAGTTGTACTGTAAGGTGATGGAACAGGAGGAGCAGGCAACAATTGTGACCTTGGAGGACTCAGAAAGGGGAGAGGCAGGGATGAGGATACGTGAGTCAGGAGAGCAGTGTGACACAAGCATGGAGGCAGGGCTCGAAGGATCTTGGGGTGTCCAGTGTGGCAGAGGCCCTGGGAAGTAGGGGGAACCTGTGGGGGGCCAGGTCCATGGAGTGAGGGACTTGGGCAACATATGCACAGATAGGGAGGCCTTGGAAATACACAGGGCTAGACTTGGAGGGAAGCCTTTGTCTCTCAGTGCCTCAGCTGAGCTGTGGTTTTGTCTGGTTCAGTCTGAGGAATGAGCCAGGCTGGGTGCTGGCAGCTTTGGCTCTGGGTTCCTGACCCCTGGCTTTGTTTGTGGAACCAAATTTTGTATTGTTGGGCTGTGTTCCGAGCTTTGCAGTGAGATGCTCTGCAGTACAGCCTGTCTTCCTCCTTCATCACGTACTACCCTCTTGCTGTCAGGCCTTCCTTCCAGATCTCAGGGATCTTTATCTGCTGCATCTAGTCAAGCCTTTGAGGACTGCTGGGTCACAGAGTATGGGATGGGAAGACAGTAGAGGACAGTGTGGACTTTCTCCCAAGTCCTTTTGACCCAGGCCAGCCTAACTTCGAGACCCAGTGTCTCCTTGGTCTTAACCTACTCACCTAGACCTGACCGGCCATGAACACTTTGGGGGAAGCTTCCTATCTCCATGGCGACATCATTTGGTGAAACACACCTGTGTGTTTCCAGAACTACGTTTCTTCCTGGTCATATAGTCCGATCTGATAGCTGTAGCACTTGGAAGGCTCTTAGAAGTCAGAGCTAAGGTGACTTTGATCAGGTAGAGAGAATGCAGATCCTGGAGAAGAGGAGGCTGACCAGAGTAATTTCTTTAATATCCCAAAGCCAACTGTCCTTCAGGCCAAAGGGAAGGAGTGTCCATGTTTGGTAAGCAATGTAGTGTGTGAGCTGTGGTGACCCTGAGTCTCAGATCTACCATCTCCTCCCCCTAAGACCTGGAAGTACAGTTAGCTTCATGCAACTTCAGTCTCTGAATCTGAAAAATGGGGACAGTAATACTTTCTTCCCACCTAGGTTGCTGTAGAGGTAAGAAGCAGTGATGTGTGTAAAATGTCTGTCACAGTGCCTGGTATGCAGAAGGTGCTCTGTAGATGTTGGTTATCAATATCATTTCAGTAGTCCTCTCTGTATGAGGGCTATGTTCTAAGACCCCATGGATGCCTGAAACTGACTAGTACTGAACTATATACATACATACATACATACATACATACATACATACATGCCTACATACCTGTGATGAAGCTTAATTTATAATTAGGCATAATAGGGATTAACAACAATAGCAATTAATAGCTGAAGTAACAGCTCCATGAATGTTCATGTGGGGTACAGGGTAAAGCAAACAACAGACTTTTGCTGCTGCTATTGTGTCTCTTCAGTGCCTCCCTATTCTGAAAGAGTTTGCCTTCCCTGTTTACTGATGAGGAAAGAAGCTCAAAGAGGGAAAATGAGTTGCCTAAGGTCTCACAGCAAATAAAGCAAGAGCTAGGATTTAAACCCAGACTTAGGATCTGAGCCCACCCTTTTTACTCCATGCCTTTGAGGTTCCCTTGGGCTGCTGGGTGTGGCAGGTACCCAGTTTGAGGTTCCCTGGGGCAGGCACCCACTCAGGCATCTCTTTGCCTTCCTCTTACAGGTCATCCTTTTTCAGTACTAACGCTGCCGGCACTTGCGCATCTGTCCATGGGCACCGCACAGCTGCCCCTCAGCCGCTGAGATCCAGATCCAGCTGCGACCAGGGATTCACCACCTCTGCATACACCCCCACCCACCATCCTGCCCTCTGCCAGCATGGCCCCCAGGCCTGCTCTTTCCCTCTCCTGCTGAGAACCAGAACCTGCCAGGAGCATCATAGAGTCCTCCTCTTGGAAGGCAGGGCTTCTTGAAATGTGGAATCAGGGTGAAAACAAGCAGCCTGCTCTTCCTATTTAAACAGGAGTCATCTTCAGCTTCAGCTGATCACAATAGCAAAAGGCGAATTGAATCACATGACACCAACAGTCTCCTAATTTATAGGTTTTTCTCCCTGCCCCCCCCCCATATTGGCCTTTATTTACTACTTCCTTGGAACCATCTCTGAATTCTGAATAGCCAACAGCCCCCAATGTTATACACTCTGTTGCTTTTGTCTGGAAAACACTACAGTGTTTGTGGGATGTCCCCAAAGGAAAGCTGTGTTCTAATTTTATCATTTCCATCTGTCTGGTTATGTCAAGTTAACTCAGAAAAAGAAGAGACACTGACCAACCCTGAGAGGCCCGACCCAGCAGAGATGGAGGCCTGCCCAGACTGAGAGGCAGAGGGACAGGAGGGGATGGGTGCCAAAGACTCCCCATTGACTTGGTGGAGAGGAACCAAGCCCACTGGACCTGGAGAGGTGCTGACCATTTTGTGCAGAAGAAAGAGAAAACTTGGGGAAGGCCCTTCCCCCACCTAATAATTATCTAGCATATATGCAGGAATCCTGACAGTGCGATGACACTGCTGAATGTTTGGGTGGGCCAGTGTTGGGGGCCGTTGTTTGGCCACTTCCACAGTCCTGATAGGAGGGCCTGGGCCAGTCTTTTTGGGGGTGGGGGTGGAACTTCTGGGGGCCAAGGGACAGAGCCCAGTGAAATGGCAGCCAGAATGTTATTTCTGATTCATTCCTGAATGGAGAAGTGCCCATGGACTAGGGGAGTACACCAAGCCCAGGATTCTAGCTGGCACCTCCACAGTTCCCCCATCAGCCCTACACAGCCCACCTGCTCCTGAGAACAGATGCCAAACCTAGCTACACATCCACCGCAGCGTGCTGCAGCTCTTCCACTCCAAACAAAGGGCTCAGGCCACATAGGACCACAATTTATGTTTTCACAGAATGTTCACTTGTCCCAAGCTTATCCTATAATTTGAGAACTATTTGGTGGCCTGGGGTATTTCCCACCAGAGGCTGCTAGTAAGCATGTTTTAGCCAAAGTCTTCCTTGGTTTTGGAAGGAGACCCCAGGACAGAGAAAGCAAGTTCATACTATATGTGCAGCTGCTGTCCCTGCTTCATCCACAACAGACATCACTAATCGATTGCAGCACTCCTTCTCACAGAGTCTGGATAAGGTTTCAGAATTCACATGCTTGAAGTTGGCACTTAAACAAGAACCAGTGTACTGTTTGCTCTGGGACCTGGAGGAGAGTTAGGCATGGGTGAGGCCCAGGAAAGGAATCTGCATCTTCTCCCTAAGATGTCACAGTTGACTGAGGACAGAGAGAAAGCACCACTCAAAACGCTGTTGAGTGTGGCTCAGTTCAGAACTCATCTAGTGCCCCGTGCTGGGCACTGACGTGAACAGGAGGCACCTGAGCCTGATCCTTGGCTTTGGGGAACTCAGATCTTTCCTTTCATTTTCACTCTTAATGAACAAAACACCCATGGCAACCATGTAGTAAGTGGCCAGCTGAGCCCTGACCAGGGTTACCCAGTACTCACCCTGCCTTGAGCCTTCCCCCAGGGTCTGTTTCTTGCGTGGATCATGTGGCCGTAGCATGTTGCAGTTCAAACGTCTCCACTACCCTGTTAAGAACAGTCTGGGAACGTATAGGCCGTCGAGACTATTTATTTAAATACAAAAGAAGGGGAAAAACACACACATGGAAAAAAAATTGTAAGCACTTTTTTTGTAAAACCAATGTCTGTTTTGTTACATATCTTTCATGTCGTGCTTTGTAAATGTCTTATTTGTGTAATAAATAAAGTTAATGCAAGTAGAAGTGCTGGCACTTAAATCCAGAACATGATGGGATTCCATTTCTTTCTTGCTCTTTGCTTAAGGACTTGGGTCTCTGGCTCCTGGACTGTCTGGGATGCTAGGTGGGTGCAATCCTGGAAAGCTGGTATCATACCAGGTAGTTGGCTGTGTTCTGCAAAGGCACAGCGATGGGTCTCTTCTCGGAGTATTCCCTTGCCCTCGTATATCACCTCCTGGAGGAAGTCAGACTGGGTTGGTGACCTTTGTTCTACTTTCTGAATACCAGCTCTCTGCTGGGTCCTGTGCTGCTCTGCAGAATCGAGAGGAGTCCAGCTCTGTCCTGCCTCAGAGATACTCCTGGGCTGGCCAGCACTGTAAACAGACATTCCTGTAGTGCTGGGGGGCCAAAGGGGAGTTATTAGAACTGGGGCCTATCAAATAAGAAGTTTACAGAATAGTTGTATGAAAGCGGAAGGCACTGGGTGGGGGCATGGAAGGAGGAATGCAGATGGCAGGGAAGAATTTAATCCTGTGGCTTCATCTTTAACAAAAGACTGGCTCTCATAGTGGCTGTCAGGTTCCTAGGCGACCACGTACTCTGGAGAATTGTCTGACGGTCATCTGATTTGCTCATCTGTAAAATGTCTTTTAAAAATAAGATTTAATTATGTGAATGAGTATGTGTTTGTATGTGGATATATATATATAT